AAGTTTATCCAAGATATCATGCAACTAACTAATGGTAGACACTAACATCATAAATGAGGGGGTGACAGAATTGAAAGAGGCATGAAGCCACCAACCATATATATTTGAAGGTTTGCATTTTCCATTCCACCAACCATGATTGTTTATACTAGTACATTGGGAAGATGTAGTAACCATAGAACAAACTACCAGTTAATTATGTTTATACTTTTTTTTTTTTTTTCAGAAACTAGAATTTATCTAATTCACTTAATTAAAAAACTAAAAATATATATTAAGGCACTAAAAGAAGATTACTCTGAGAAGACAATTTAGCTTCCAGGCACAGCACATGTGCAGAAAAGTTTCTTAAATTCTGCTGCACAAGTCAAACAAAAATATGTTAAAAAATTATTACTATTAGCAAACACCACTTTGAAAGAAGAACTTAATTTCAAAGAGAATTCAGAAAAGTAAAAGAATTGAACAGGACCAACCCAATTCTTCTTGTTCAAGAAAATACCACCATGGACTTTTCTTTTAGCCTCACCATGTTCACATCCATATATCACTGTTCTTTCCAAAGCAGCAGCATCCCTTGGACTTTTATTCCAGACGTTTGGTTTGATGTGTATACTGAATTTTCAAATCCAGAGCATTTAATCTAAATTTTGACTTAAAAAGTTTTAACCCAATCACAGAGAGGCCAACAGTGAAAAATTCAATTCAAAATGAAGTTCAGCGAAAGCATGTGCTTAAACAGGAACCCGAAATGGCGACATAACGTGTCCGAATATGCTTATGATGGCGACATAACGTGTCCATTGGAATATGCTTATGTATGCTCTTGCGTCCAAGTAGAACTTTTTCAGTGCCTATAAATACAACCTTCCAACTAATGAGAAATCATCAAACCAAACACCAGTTAAATTCAAAGTTCCTAGTTGTTTGATTCACTTTCAGTTATTCAACTAAAATTGTAATGGCCTCAAATCAGCCACATTTTGTCTTCATGCCTTTTATGGCCCAAGGCCACCTTATTCCTCTTATGGACATAGCCAAATTGTTTGCAGAGCACAATGCACTTGTCACCATAATTGCCACACCTTCAAGTCTTGTCCGTTCTGGTCCTACAATCAACCTTGCCATTGAATCTGGGCTACCTATCCACATTTTACAAGTCCGGTTCCCTTCTACAGAGGCAGGTCTACCGGAGGGATGTGAATCTGCAGACACAATTCATTCTCCGATTCTTCTGAAGAACTTCTACACTGCAGTAGCAATGATGCAACAACCAGTGGAGAAGCTGTTTGCAGAGCTAAAACCGCCTCCAAACTGCATAATATATGATAGGAATTTCACATGGATAGTAGATATAGCCTCCAAGTTTCAGATTCCAAGGATATCATTTGATGGGAAGAATTGCTTTACTCTCTTGTGCTCTCATGCTTTAAACATTTCCAAGGTCCATGAGAACGTGTCTGAAACAGAACCCTTTGTGGTGCCAGGATTGCCAGACAGAATCGAATTTACCAAAGGTCAGCTACCCAGCAACTTCAATCCTGGTAACAGCTCAACTATGAACGAAGTCGTTCAAAAGATATTAGCAGCAGAAGGAGGAGGATATGGCGTGCTACTTAACACTTTTGAAGAATTGGAAGCAGAATATGTCAAAACATACAGGAAGGTTCAAGACCGCAAAATATGGTGTGTTGGCCCTGCATCACTATGCAACAAAGAGAACTCGGATAAAGCTAAAAGAGGTAACAAGTCCTCTATTGATGAAAATCAATGCTTGGAGTGGCTTGATTCACAGGCACCAAACTCTGTCATTTATGCTTGTTTTGGAAGCCTCAATAAGCTTACAGCTCCACAACTGATAGAGCTTGGCTCAGCCTTGGAAGCAACAAACAGGCCATTCATCTGGGTTTTAAGAGGAGCGGATGGAAAAGATGAAATGGAGAAATGGTTTTTAGAAGATGGATTTGAGGAGAGGACAAGAGGGAGAGGCCTCTTGATCCGTGGTTGGGCGCCTCAAGTTCTGATCTTATCCCACCCAGCAGTCGGAGGGTTCTTAACACACTGTGGCTGGAATTCTACACTCGAAGGCATCTGTGCTGGTTTGCCAATGATAACATGGCCCCTGTTTTCTGAGCAATTTTTCAATGAGAAACTAGTAGTACAAGTCCTGAAAATTGGTGTTGGGGTAGGAGCGAAAGCTGCAGGGTTGCAGTTTTGGGATGAAGGGGATTCTGAGCTGCTGATGAAGAGGGAAGACATCAAGAAGGCTGTGGACATGGTAATGGATGAAGGAGAGGAAGGACAAGAGAGAAGAAAGAAATCAAGACAGCTTGCAGACATGGCAAAGAAAGCACTAGAAAGAGGAGGATCCTCTTACCTTAACATTTCCCTGCTCATTGAAGATATCAAGCAACAAGCCACAAGCAATCTAATTACAGCATGAGAAAATGATGCATGTTTGCTATTTGTTCTACTCTTTGTAGTAATTTTGTTGTTCTCATATGTTCAATTTATTCATTTTCAGCATGACAAGAATCAGATAATAAGATAAATCATTGTCTCAGCAGCAATGGTATCATGATAATCGGTAAGAATTGGAAATTTTTGCTTCGTCATAAACGAGAAAATGTGTAAATTTTATGAATATATTATAATTCATCCAATGTCTTAAGAATATATTTTATTTAAATTAATGAGTTCAATAATGTCTTCATATCAAATTTAAATATGTCTTCAACAAAATAATTAATATGACAATGACAGTAAACTACAGTATTTTTGCCATTTAACTACGGAAAAAAATTATATGTATATGGTAAAAATCCGTAGGTATATCCCATTCGAAGCTTATATTTATGGAGAAAATTAACTACGCTTATGATCATATTCCTACAATATTATATGTTGTAAGTAAAATATTAATGATCTTATACCTTCATTTAAGAACAGTAAGTAAACAAAATATCTATGATATACACATGTAGGTAAAGAACAATAGTAACAACATAATAATGATTGCTATATTAGCTTTAAATAACTATATTTATCATTTCTAAAATTATTTTATAACAACACCATAAGTTATACCTAAAGTACAATTTACAACAAAAACAAGTTGTTATGCAAAGTAAGTTCAATACCCAAAAAATGGTGTTACAAAAAAGATATTATGCAACTAAATTAGTCACTATTAAAGGTGTATTTTTATAACCATTACAATTATTACCAAAAGGGAAATTTCTTTATGTTATAAATTATTTTGTAAAATAATATTGGGAACAAGCCTACTACATGGGAGATAAAAATCTCTCTACCATGTTGAATTGTTGGTAAAAGACTTATTATGCAATTATTATAATTGTTGTAAAAAAATTGTTACAGCAACCATTTAAAATGTAGGTAAAAAAGGTTTTTCCTAATTTTGTAAATTAGCTTAGAAAATGAGATTTAGCAACAATTATATGTGGTTGCCATATGATAATTTAAACAACGTCATCCACTATTTTATAAAATATAATTTAGTAACAATATTAATAGTTACACTATAAATATATAAAAATATTAATAATTGTTGCAAAAAAAATATTTTCTCTACCTTGTTGAACTGTTGGTGAAAAAATTATGACACAACTATTATAATTGTTATAAAAAAAATAGTTATAACAACCATTTAAAATGTAGATAAAAAGGGTTTTTCCTAACTTCATAAATTAGCTTAGAAAATAAGATTTAGCAACAAAAATATGTGATTATTCTATAATAATTTAAACAACG